AATTAGAAACAGGAGTCTTTCTGTGTTTAATTTTAAGGTATTCATTTTCAAAAACTATTTCTGTTCTAATACTTTGATTGCTGTATTAATTGATAATATGGTTACCCTATTTTTTGTTGACGAATAAATTATAAAATCGTTTAAAGATCATGACCTTCTGCGATTAAGCAAAATATGTATCAAATATTGTATTTGATCGTAAAAAGGTGTATGGTTACAAAAGGTACAAGACAAATCGATACAACATTAACAAAGCCAAACAAAAACAAATCAAAATTAATAAAATGGAAGAATGCTCCATATACAGACTATCATTTTCGAAAACCGGATATTTCAAAAGTTGAAATGATTCTTGCTCAGTGTTTATAAGTTATACAAGAAAGGAAAAGAAAAGTATTCAAAGAAACAACCAAAAGAGCGAAAAAAAAAACTTGGCTTTGATCAGCATTTTCTAGACGGAAGTTAACGACAGTAGAAGCGTCATTCGCCAAGAATTACTACGTAACCTAATACAAAATGTTTATCTTAAGTTCTAAACTAGGACTGAAATTGACATACTCGTAGCAATAAGTTGTTTTTGTCTTAATTGGTCGGCAAATATTTGAAAATCTGGGGAAAAGATTCTAATAAAAACTAAATGGGTGGTGATATATAAATAATAAACAAAAGTCTTGAGGCGCTAACACTAATAATATTCATTACTCAATTTCATACTTAAGCTTTGTAAAGTTTTAATTATAAATATTATTTTTTAATTACTAATTGACTGCTAGATTGTTTAATGGAACTATTTATTTATTGATTGATTTGTTGTTATTTCGATTAAGAGTTTCAACTCAATACGAACATTGAGGCCGTGAAAAGGAAGAGTGAATCAGGAAACTTAAATCATAATATGTTCTTAACGAATACCATGCATGCGTTTATATTCTTACTGAAAAACGTGCTTTCCATCTCCTCATCCATATTTCATAAATTGGACTGAAATATCTTGCAATATCATTGAAGAATGTGAAATTTTGATATCGTACAATTTGAAAAAAATAATTTTTTTATTTTTTTTTTTATCTAAAAGGGTTATATAGAGATTATGAATAGTATCTGGCACAGACTGGTATTATATTTCGACGTTAACAAATTGATTATTCTTTCTTTGTTGAAATTGAATGATATTTAAAAATATTACGGTACGCGAACTAAAATAGATTAACTTGTTTTTGATAGTACGCGATGTTTTATGAAACTATAAGATATCATCGTACATTTCATTGAATAAAACACATCGTACCTTCGGGATGACTTTAAATGAAATTTAAGAATCAGAATAATTATAGATAATTATTTATAACTTGAACAGTGTCGGGTTATTTGCCCAACTTGTAATTATCATGAAGAAATTAATTTGTAAGGCTATCACTTGTCATAATAAAGTTATCTAAGTGACATAGTCCATTTTATGTTGAATTGGTGAAATGGATAAGCCATGCTGTAGTTTAGTTTATAATGATTTATTTTAGTTTGATTGTGTTGGAAGCTATGAGCTTATTGAAACACTTGAACTCGCACTAAAGAATGAGCGCTTTGGAATTTGGAATTCAAAATTTAAGGGATTTCAGATATCAAAATTGAAAAATCTGAGCTACGTATAGCCTAGATAGACTGCATCGACTTGCAGGCTTGTCTGGTTCAGAACTGTGTTATTTGATGAAATAAGTGATCAAATTAAAAAACAACAACATCATGTATAGGTTAGTGTTTAATAAAAAAAAAATGGTTAAGCGGGCCGCATACACCCGACCAATTATTTTTGTTAAGACGTATTATTAAACATTAACCTATTTAATGATCAACATTATTTTTCAACCAAAACCAAAGTATTTTTCTAAACTGCTTATAGTTATACTGGATAGACGACTGGTTAAGTAAATTTCATTTAGTTAGTACACATTAACCAAAGTTAGGCTTAGCAGAAATTTGAAAAAAATATTGCAACGTGATTTGACAAAAATAATGTTACTCAATAAATAACTGTTAGGTCAGCAAAATACACGCTAAAATTTGAAGTCATACTTTTAAATGACTTACCCGTGAGAACTTATTACCAAGCAAATACGTGCTGACCTTCAAATCGCACTTTAAATGAGAAAAAAACGCGGCAAAAAATAATTTTAAAATTAACTCGTTTAAATTTACGTGAAACATTGAAGCAATATAAAAGTACACGTGATGCTGAGCATTTCCGCTATAACATTTACGAGATCAATTTCCCCACTAAAACTAATAACATTCACTCACGATACAAGATTTTAGACTATTCTTTGACGGTCTTTCGGCATAACTGTCTTATTTTGTTTTCATTGAACAATGTTGTTTTTTTTGTATAACCACATCTGAATATTGGAATTATAAACATTCATATTGGAATCGAAAACCATTACCATTTACATAGGGATTGAAACCATTGAAACCGTCTATATTGGAATTGAAATCGAAAACCATATTGAAATTTAAACCATTTATACTTGGATTGAAACCTCTGAAACCATTTAAATTGTATATTGGAATTGAAAACCATTTATATTTGGATTGAAACCATTTATATTGAGATTTAAACCATTTATATTGGTATGTACAAAAAATAGGATTAAAATAAATCAAGCAAATACTGATTTACCTCCGCCACCCCAAATTATATTCTGATATAAAAACAACAGCAAATTATAACTAAAAACAAATTCATATTCGGATTTAACCCTATCATTCTCATCTCCTTGTAGTCTGATTAAAAAAAACCCATCCTGTTCGGACTTTTAACAGTATCCTATTTAACTGTCATTTTCTTTATTTAATACTTATCACATGTCTATTTATATGATAAATACGTTTTGATTATTTTATTTTGTCCGTTATAATATAATCAACAGTATTTTATCCATTCAGTTACGGTTCTGTACCAGTACTAACAATATATATCTTATACTAGATCACTGCCAACATCTCCATATTATTCTATAATGGACAGAACATCATCTGTGTGCGCAAGTAAAGCATGCTATTGTGTTTATGTAAGATACATGTAACTGGTTTCACAGCAACGGAGTTCTTACGAATTATCCGTTATGAACAACATTCATTTTTGTTCATTTCATTTTCATTTAAAAAAAAAACAACAACAAAAACAAACAAACAACAAAAAACCCATATATTTGATAAAAATGTCCGGATCATAATTCTATTCATTTAGAGAAAAAAAAATCTGTTTACGGAAACGGGCGAAAGGATCCCCATGTAACGATAAGTTACGTATTATGCCGATGTGGCACGGAAAACCCCGATTCCATTACAGGGATCTTAACTTAGAAGCAGTACAACGTCGCTTCGATACACATATTATGTTGGTTTGAAATACAAACTTTACTTTATAATTCTTACTATTACAATTTCAATATTCCGATACAAATACTGTTTCAATAAACTTTTGGAAAATCTAACTTATTTACAAAAAAAAAATAAAAATAGTAAGGACTTATTCATTCTGTATTTTGTGTTGATAACTCTATGGTCATTTTATGTCCAAACTAGCACATGTAATATAATTAAATCAACAAACGATATTGCGTATGCAATTTGATTTGAACCTCAACCTAGGGATTACCAATAAAAATGGCATGGGTTTTTTGGTTGAGTTTTACGTCCCACCAACACAGTATAGGTCATACGGCAGTTTTCAAGCTTTACTGGTGGAGGAAAACCTCAGATGTGCTTCCGTGCTTTATTTAAGGCACAAACGGACTCCTCAGTAAAACCACCTACTTTCCGTAAGATAGCTTGATAGTTTCCTCACATAAAAGAATCTGTAATCCTTGACGAGATTTGAACCTATAGCTGTGAGTGGCAAGTAATTTGAAGTCACGGCTTTAACCACTCGGCCACGAACGCCCTTTTAAAATGGGAAATAAAGTTTCTCGCTTCAAATAAAATGAAAAATTTTATTAGCAGAATAGTAAGTATCGATAATTAAAATATTTTTTTCTACAGCAATTTGCAAGGTTTTTGTTTTTTTGCCATGTAACATTATTTAACTTATTATAGTTAGCAAATGAGCTCTACTCGGGTTTCAAAGCCTGAAACATTCTTGAAAATTTGACATTCTTACATATTGTACTTACAATGAAAAATAAATATACAAAATGTTTTTAATATAAAAAAGAAATATACTTTGAATAGGATTGGTAATATTTGGAATTTTGTAAGCATTTTTTTTTGGTTCAAAACTGAATCAAATGCTACACAAATCTCGAAAAAGAATTTCCAATTTTTTTATATAAAAAGAGCATTGTTCAGGCCCTTAAACGATATCCTTGATTGTTTCTATACAGAGGCACTTTTTTATTCAAAATTTTGTTTAATAAATGAATATAAGGAAGTGATAGCAAAATCATTGAAATGAATATGCATGTAACATAATTTGGCCATTAAAGTGTTAACTTCTTTCAAAATTATAATGTGTACATATAAACGTAGCTTTGTTTGATGATCACCTATTCAAAATGGACAATTTCACATTTTCACATTTTTAGAAATTCCCTTTGGAATAAATAACTTGTAAACCTTTTTTTATGCAATTTATATTTGTGTTTAAAGCTGCATGCAAACTGCCGTACGTGTACATGCACCTACATTTCTTAAAATGATTAAATCACGTTATTCTCTCGTGCATCTACTCCAGAACTAGATTATGAATAAAAGATATCTGTCTGTTTATCTGTCCGTCCATTTGTTTCTTAATGAAAATATATGCTATAAACCTTCACACCTACATTAATCAGGTAATTAGTCTCAACATTTTCCACGTTTTTATTTATTTATTCAACGAAAATGGAAGTTCCCCTATTTAAAGCAGTTAGGTCCCTAGTATATAAAAATGGGGTCGGGTAAATTTCAAATATCATCTATTCATAAAAACTAACAAAATAATTATCAAATCTAAAGTCATTTACCTTTCTCTGTTTTGAGGGAAAGTTATTCCTTTTATAAATGCAGGAAAATGGTAAAAAGATTCCAGTCTGTCTAAAGATCTTTTTCTCTTTAAAACAATTTATTTACTTCTTTTCTTGATTTTTTCTATTTTCAAACACGTTGTATTTTTTTTAAATAATTTTGTCCTTTGAGTAGTTATCCTTTCATCTTATATTCTCAAAAGAAAAAATATCGTCGGCTTGAAAATCTATATGTCATAGTACTAGATTCTATTCCATTAATTGAATAATTTACTAATTGTTTTTTTATCATTCATACACTTTTTTAAATGTCTTTATTTGCATCATTCAAAATGTATAATGCATACAACCTAGAAGGCTATCGTATTTACTCTCTAACTTTCTCAAATTTCAACCTTTTATACAATACATGTTCAATTGCTGGCTATTTTAGTACACACAGTTAAATATAATTGAAGGTATTTCCGCTTTAAATATAATAGATGATTCAAACACTTATTGAAATAATATTTGCCTGCCTTTTGCAAATATACTGAAGTTAGTAAATATCACTTTTCCATATCGACTTGTCAAGTTTACATTAAAGAATAGAATACAAAACTGGTATTAGTTAAATCAATTTATATACCGTCACTTTTTAAATTTTTAATTTATAGCTGATTATCAGTTCTGTTTGTTGAAACAAGTTCCCGTATTTTAGCTGTAGTATTTATTGTTGGTATTTTTACAATAATGTTAATTGCCTTATTATATACCAATTTTGATATATCGTGATGAATTCAGGCATTTCCCACAATAGAGAATCGTTCCTTACCTCGAACGCAACTGATGGAATAATATTAGAGAAATAGTTTATTTGTTAATGAAATAAGACAGCTTCTGTGCAGCAGACATGCGCGTGCAGTATCAGACGAGAGGACATCGTCTGCATTTGCATGAGAACGCGCGCGTTACTTAGGCCCATTTTTTAAGTAGTGAGGGAAATACTTATCGGATATGCCCATCCTTGGGGTAAAAATAAATTGACCGAATTTTCATGTGTATTTGTACGAAACTTGATTTGAAGATAGATAAATCAGAAATATCGTAAAAATTATGATTTATCGTTTAGAAACGGCGTATGTCAAACTATTTTCATTTATTCCAAGTGGGACATATTTGATAGATACTTGCATTAAGTATTGCATTAAATGCCTCCATTTTTCTGTCTTATCATTCATGTAACCTGTGACATTTTTGTATAATAATTTCATGTTAATAATAATGATAATGATGATGATGATGGTGGTGGTGATGATGATGGTAATGATAATGATGATGATGGTGGTGGTGGTGGTGATGATGGTAATGATAATGATGATGGTGGTGGTGATGATGATGGTAATGATAATGATAATGATGATGGTGGTGGTGATGATGATGGTAATGATAATGATAATGATGATGGTGGTGGTGATGATGATGGTAATGATAATGATAATGATGATGGTGGTGGTGATGATGATGGTAATGATAATGATAATGATGATGGTGGTGGTGATGATGATGGTAATGATAATGATGATGGTGGTGGTGATGATGATGGTAATGATAATGATGATGATGATGATGATGATGATGATGATGATGGTGGTGATGGTGGTGGTGGTAATGATGGTGGTGGTGGTGATGATGATGGTAATGATAATGATGAGGATGATGATGATGATGATGATGATGATGATGATGATGATGATGGTGGTGATGGTGGTGGTGGTAATGATGGTGGTGGTAATGATGAGGATGATGATGATTATCACTATGATGACAATTATAGATATAATGATAAATATAATGATATTCATAACAACATAACAATTATAACAATTATGATAATAGTTTATACCGCTATACTTGTATTAAAAAAAATATTTGGAAATCTTTTCACCAAAATACCCGCAAGGTCATGATAATAAAATTGTTTCAAGCGTAGCTAATACAAAATATAATTTATATACCATTACAATAGCAGGGCCTCTAACTACTATGGGAAAGAATTAATAACATATCTCGAACGAGCAAACACTCTATCGCTCTAACAAGAAGCCCGTGTATTTACACTCCTGCTTTGTAAGAATACAACTTTGTAACATTTTAAATACATCAATAACGCCTTTCTATAGATGTGACAAATATCGATTTTAGTAAAAAAAGAGATCTATACAAAAGTGACTTTAAGTGAATAATATGTAATTCTTTATAGCATTTCAACGAGTCATTGAAAAAAATCTCATTTAATCCGATTGTGGTTTCAACAAGTAACTGCCTTGTTTAAAAAATATATAATTCTTGTTAATAAAATTCGTTTGATGTGTTTTCTTAAAAAAATGCGAAATATATATTGAAGATGTACAAGTGTCATTAACAACACACGTGTAAAACAATAAGATAAAATTATAGTATATTTTTTCTTATGTTTCGGTGTTACTTAACCAACATTGCAAAATATTATATCTATTCTGTTATATAGAAGTATTCTAATAATTGGCATTGTTTTGAACTTCTGTTGCATTAAACTGTATTTTATACGAAATAAATGTTACACATTAAATAAATGTTTTATTTCAACTTCACTTAAGTTTTAGGTACAGAAGTCAGTTTCACTCACCATTCTATTTTGTTAATAGAGATTTAGAGATACATAAGTAAGATTAATATTTAAGAATAATTTATTGTTAACTTCTAAACCGCCTTGGTCTAACATTAACATTTTCTTTTATATTAATATTACGTTTCTCTTTGTACAAGACTAAAATAATTTAATGTGTACACACATAAAAACTCTGGGGTATCTTGAATCACTCTATTTTAAGATATACTTGTACATTTTGTCATCAGAATTTTATAATTCTATTGTTATGATAAAATGCTTACAAAACTTGTCAGTTTTTGATAAATATACGGCTCTTTCGAGTTTTATTTATTTAATCGACCGTCTCTTTAACAAAGTCGTTTAAAAATAGAAACTACTCTATTTTCGGCGGTGCTTTATAATAGTGTAAATAAACCCAAAGAAAAGAAAAGTAAATACAACGAAATAGTAAACTTGCAATGATATTGATCATTTCATGATTTATAAGTACACGGTAATAACAGACGAATAAAAAACTAAAGTATGATCACACTAATGGGCAGTGTTTCAAGAGTTTTATTTTTACTTCCACGCTATTGTTTTGAATGCGTTTATTGTTTACTGGACCGATATTTAATGAATATAAAATTGTTTAAAATATTGATGATTTTTTTATTACATTTTTAAAGCTGAGAATTAACACAATTCGACATTTTGGTGTTCGATAGAATCTGAAATCTGGGACATAATATTTCTATATTTAAATTTTATATTTATTTATTATTTCACTTACTGTTATTTATATTGTACTTTTAACCACCATGAAAGTTTTGTAAAAGGATTATAATCTTGGGATAAAAAAGAAAACAGAACTAAATTGGTGTAATATAGCACAAATGGGCACTATCCGGAACACAAACATAAACAACAAAACTTGTATTTCTTTCCATGGAAACCTTATGCAAAATTTGAACAAAATTTACAATATTTACCGTACTGTTTTGAACGCTTTTGAACATTTTTCTACACAAATCTTGAACATTTATTGGACTATTTTTTCAGAAATAAGAAAACTATCAGTAATCTGTATTATCATTGTTATAAAACATGTATTTCTTTGAAGTATTGTTATGAAACAAATTATGCTATTCTTCTAACATAAAACTGAAGCTAAATAATTGTTTGTAGTCAAAATGTTTCAAAAAATGCAAAAAAATATATACACCCTATCCAACAAATTTTAAACACTGACCATTTTCCTGATTAGTGTGCCTAATTGACAATGCCACTAAGATCTACTTTATCTAGCCAAAGCTTAAGTATATTTAACTTGTCAAATATAATTTGATAATTCGTAATTTTCGAATTATTAAGCTAGAATACCTTTAATAATTATATAGTTAAAATTTTAACACTCGTTTCCAAAAAGGGTCTAAGATATAAAAAATGAAGAATTCCTTTTGTCCCAAATGGTGTTTGAATCCACGTCCCGCATTTTCAATGTTGTAGTAGTTTTAGAATCTTTAAAGGTCATCATGCCCAATGCATCATGTTTTTAATTCCTTATAAATTTCTTATTTTGGTATCTTGTAACAGTTTCCAAAAATATACTTATTTGCCATATAAACTATCTTTTTTATCCCCATTGCTCTGTTGGTAATTGGCGTATTCATAGCGAATTAGTATTTTGTATGGAAGTCAAACAACTTCTTTGTTTACTTTTTGCTACCTTTACTGCACGTGCAGCGCTCCTTTCTTCAAGTTGGTTAAACATCGAACATACTCCAAGTCTGTTATTAAAACATTATTAAAATATGTTTGCTATTTCTAAAGAATTAAACAAATATTGGATTTCTTAGGCATAATGTGCCTTTGAATACTTTTCAAAGTGGAGGTAATGCATTTGGAGTAAACTGCCTTAAAATACCACATAAAACATGTATTAAGTAAATAGAAATGAGGGTTGTTTTAGATACATTTAATTAAATATGTTTGATCCAATTGCCAGAGGCAGGACGGTTAAGAAATCTAATATTGTGTCATCATATTTGCCTTCACAATAACTGATCATTTACGGAAAAAATACCGCGAAGAACAACCATTTTGTTGCTAAGCTACTTTTTTCTACTCTTTTTTACACGTATATGCAAGGACCATAAACGTTTCTGAATAAAAAAAAAATTCCAATACTGTTGGAAGAAATTCAATAATGCATATAGAGACAAGAATATAGAAAAAAACAGAATCCCTGAAGAAAGCCCAACAAGGCAAAATTGAAAATGTTCCATGCTCGGTTTGATTGAGCCTGTTCATAGACGGTACTGGAAAATGAAGTTACCGTCCACGCCCCTAGTACCGGCCGGCTTAAACAGAATTCAACATCCACGAAAATTGTGACATTTTGAATTCAGAAACATCCACAGACGTGTTCATACGGCAGTTATTATGGATTCTGTTAATAGTAAGTCTGTGTCGTAACTTTACTTAAAACGAATACTCTTCAGTAAGTAAGTATTGCATTAGGATGGTCATACCTTAAACATTAAAGATAATTTTGTTCAAGTAAAGTTCTTTAAAATTTTGATATCTCACGAAGCTTTTCTTAAAAGCATTACAACTAAAATAAATAAATATTCTTGATGAATAAATTTTGAAACAGTCGTTAGATTTATAAATGAAAACACGTAAAATTGTTCAATGAAAAAAAAAAACGAACTTGCAGGATTACAATTTTCAATATCTACGAAACAACAACAACAACAACAAGTAAAAGGAACAGATAGTAGTCTATTGTACCAGTCATTGAAGTTGCGTTTTTTACAGAAGATTTAAATATATCTTAAGTTTGTGTATTGATGAAACAAATCGATTATATAAAACACAAGGGGAATAACCGTGTTTTAATACTACACAGTTTACAATATGAGTTGTAGAGCGCTTTTTAGAACGAAATATTTTCTTCCATTTGAATATATATGCAAACACCATCATGTATATTTGAAAGAGTTGGCAGCAGGGGTTAAATTATGTCAGGATGGGCTTTATTAACAAAATTTTAATAAGGCATATATCTAGCTAGCATTTACTTATATGTCTGTTAAAATATACCTTTATTTCCGTTTTATTGTTAAAAAAGAAACCAAATGCCTAGCGGGCAAGTTTTTTACTTTCTCAACACAGGGTTGTGGGGTTGAGACTCACTCAGACCAGTACCGTGTTTTCTTATACTACACCGGTACTGTTGAGTTACAGCAATTAGCTTAAAGGTTACGTCACCAATCGACCTAACATCAAGTAAATGAGACAGCTTGTCTATTTATATAATTATGTGTTTTTGATGTATTATACCCGAAATAAATGTAAATCCTCTTTGAATTACTCGGTCCTAAGTTGTATTAATTCGCTAAATTCAAGATCCAAGAGAAATCATGAAATAAAAAGATTAGAAAGGGTTACCTCCTTTTCATCTTGTCTCACATTACTGTTCATTTAGGTACACATTGACCGCCTTACAATGAATTTCTTTTGGATAGAAATTCATATATTTGGCTATCCTTACTCCATGTTTTAATATTCAACCTTTAAGGGCATGACTGATAATATTTCCGGGTTTGTACTCGGCAGAGAGGGTTGCTTTCTATGTCTTTACTTCGAGGACCCTCATAAAGCATCGTACATATACACATAGAGACATTTTTATATCGAAAGTGTCTCTAAATTGTATCATAAAAAGACAACAACGTGATTGTACAGTTTTCTATACCAATAGTGTATTGCACAATTTCTTTGTTTAGAATCATGTTATCTATTACATCGAACAGATATGTAATTAAGGTCATTACTTTATTATACGATTTATCTGAAAAGAAAAAACGATTGCGTATATGCGTATTTCCTATTTTCACCAAACTGAACTGAAAATGTATTATTTTCTTTATTTATTCTCCAATTGATTTATGTCAGTGATATACAATGCAATACACGGAAATGAAATCACATATACATCAAGTGAAAGAAACAAAAAAAAAAAACAAGAAAATAAACATAAAATAAATGTTAGCGTAAAGTTCCTTTTTCAAATTGAAGTTTCATGATTTCACCAGTACACCTGAAAATGTATTCCAGTAGTTATTCGAAGTTACTAAAACATTACTGCTGTAAGAACACTTTACGTAAACTTTTGAATCTTTGTGAAGTACGGCAACAGTGTCTGTAGTGTAACATGCATCCCAATCCTTATCACAGAAAAATCCTTTCTTTATATCAACACCATCCGCAACTATTGCATAATACATATCTTTTCCACCATCAACACAAAGCTGCACAGAAAACGTATATGTTCCCGCTACAGGTGCTGTAAATATCCCACTCTTGTTATCATACCCGAGACCTTCGTTCAACGTCGTCGTCTTAAACACAAGCGTTTCCCCAGAACTTGGTGAATGGTCAACAAGGTCATTACTTCTGAATGCGACTGTGGGCCCTAGATAAATGTAATTTAAATGTTTGTAAACAACATGTGGTGGGTGACAAAAGCATGTTTAAATTGAAATATATGTTATCAATAGATTAAACAAAGTTTATATTCATCTTTAATATTCATTATTTTTACTAACTCCTTAACAAGTACAATTTGTTGAAAAACTATTTTTTATTTTAATTGAAGGAACACTTGTTGATGAATGCAACACTAAATACAATCACTATCTCTTTTACTATCAGCTTAAAAATAATGTCAACTAAGTTAAATATAATTTTACCTTTCAGTTTTTTCTAAATCAGCAGCAAAGTTTCGAATACTTCTATTTGTTTCCCCTGTCATTTCGTTGGTCACACGTTTCAACTTTGCCATTTCATTCTGAATGCTTTTATTGGTTTCCTCCATAAAGTCGTTTGTTTCACGTTCCAACTTTATCTTTTCATTATTCCAGTCGTCACTAAGCTGTTGGGTTGTTTCTGTCAGCTTTCCCAGGGTGTCAAGCACTTGCTGCTGAGTTGCCGCCATATCCGCTTGCAGTTTTTCCATGGCTATTTCCTGTCAAATCATTTTGTTTAAAGTTTGTTCCTCATAGTGGAATCTTGAACATTCTGGTTCCGACAGCACTGCAGTGATAAACAGTAACATGTTTATGTTTTGCCTCTTTCGAAGAAACAAATGCGATCTTCAAAGGCAGGAGTCTTTTATACTAGGATACTTGTAATGAAATAATTTGTAGAAGGGTTTCTTCGCAAGTTATCATATCTGATTTAGAGTTGTTCTTTGAGGTATTTAGAATCATTCAATGCTTTTTCAACTATCAGTTATCACAAAATGCTAGTAATGTCTTTGTATCATCTTATCCTCTAATATGTTTATTTATTATTGTTTCATTATATTAAGTTTGGCTTCAGTGAACAACATGAACCACTACGACGGTTACTGACACACCTTTGGTTTAACAACTTTGCTATATTTGAATACAATACCGGCCAGTAAAATAGTTTATGTTAAAAGATTCTTTGTTCATCTTATTTTTCATCGTTTGCATTACGAGTTATGTGTTTGATTTCAGTTTGCTTTTGTTTTCTTTTAGCTTTCCTGCAACTTGACGTCAAATTCAGATAATCATAACACAATTGATGGTGTTTGATCTATCATTGTTTATAACAATTAATCATTATATTGACCCATTATATTGAGTTTTGTTATAATGGACATTCATATTCATGCAGTTTATACTATGCAACAGACGATTACAGCGGCAGACAATGTTAATGATAGATTCCATGCTGTGGCCGGGCTTAATAGGATCATGTTGTTTGCCATCTATTGTTTACTTTTGTGCATGTAAACCTGAATACGGTGCCTTTTCCTCGGACGAATTTCATTTATGAATGAAAAAGTTTCATATAAGTTAACATATACTTTCTTGTGTATATAGATATATTATTAACCACCACCTTGGTGGCTGCTTATTTTTCTGATTCCGTGTTACTTTCCTAAATCAAATCAACGTTTATCACATAAGATAGAACCTGTTCTTGTTTTACATATTTTGAAATAGTGCTAATGTAATCATTTATTATTTTGAAACAGCACCAAAGGATTGCGAAAAGATAAATTTGACGTCAATTTTGCGTTAATCAACAACAGAAACTTTCAAAGAAACAGATTCTAAACAGACAGTGCTGTTCTTCGTTATCATAATTTTGTAGGCTAACTTTTTCAACAATTTTACATTGTTAAAAAAAGCCTCATGCCTACCGAATTATGTTCATGTTATAAACTTGAAAAAGGATTTCATAAATGTCTTTTGAACTGCTTATTAAGAATTGTTTATCGTTCTTTCAATTTATATACAATAAAACTGAATATGATAAATCGGATAAAAAAATTCAAGCTAAGAAAATAACATCTTATATCAGTATTTACTTATACCTGAAGACGTCTTGTTTCCATTTTTTTTCTCTTACTAGTAAACGGTAATTAGTCATGTGTACAATATTTTACAAAAAAAATGACTTAAAATTTATTTAAATAATAAATTCATTAAAACACCTGTATTCTTTTTGTAAAATCGCACTGAATGAAATCGAATGGCATCTTCGCAATGTACATATCATTACATGTATTACCTTTACGACCATGCATAATATTATTATACTCCAAGACAGTGGACTCTGATAGCCAAAGCCACTTGTTGAGTGGAAGCTTACCAGAAGGGGGAGTAACCGTGTCTCATCTATGCATAATTTAATGTATTGGTTGCATCCCTTTAACAATACTTTAATTTTATTGTCTTTGGACATGACTGACTGATGAAGAGCGTGTATTATAGGGGAAATTGTCACACTGATGTAGTCGAGGATACTTCTATGGTTTTAAGCTTCTTGGTGAAGTATTTAATTTATTTCATACAGTCAAGAACGAGAACAAAGAATAAACTAAATACATTTCGCTTGGGTAGATTCGTAAATTGAGTGGGCCTTAAATAGTGTTAAGCGTATATATAAATGCGCATAAATAATGATTATCTTATCACAAGTGTTACACAATCAGCTCATTAACGTACTGAAACAGGGATATCTTACAACATAAAATTACATCAAATGCCATAATATGTGAAATGAGAAAGTTCATCTAATACCGAGTCAAAAAAGATTCGCGCTAAAGCGGACGCAATGTTTAATATAATGTAAATTTAACTTCCATAAAAACACGTTTTTAAGGAATACAACCTTTAACTTAAAATAAAACAGACACTGTAGTTCTTTTGAAAAGTTTTGATTATATCTATCCTCTACAATTGTTCAGGTAATTTTACAAAATGAATATATTAGATTACTTTATTACTGAGAACATGTTATAGGTGGATTTCACAGTTTGCCCCATTTAATTCTTAATAAAATGAAATTGAAACGAACACTTCGTCAATATATTTCGTTACGTTATTATTTGCTGTAAAGTACTTAAAATTTTCAATTTATTGTTTCTAACAGAAAAAAGTTTTACATGTCGTGTAAAGGGGTGGAGAATTAAAGCATTTTGTCATGCTATAGTTGTTAATCCACCGGTTCTAAATGTTTTAATGACATAACTTAGCGAGAAAATTACGCAAGAGAACTAAGCACCGCTGGTACTTCGCTCCAAATCATTTGAGTTAACTACCCCCGACTCTTTTCAAGAGCAATAAGTTCACAACCAATGTCGTCAATGCCCTTAGGCTTTTCTTTATAGAAATAAATATCTTTGTTATTTTCTCTTTGATCAATTTCCTGGTTAGTGTGCTAAATGAAAAATACCACAAAAAATATAAAAAAATTATTTGGGGTTTTTAAAAATTTTTATTTAAAGACACCGGGAAAAAAATTTAAAAGCACCCCCCGGGAAAAAATTTAAAAATTGGTTTTGTATTAAAACCCTTTTGTCTTTGAAAAATGAGGGATTTAAATTTGAGCTAAAAAATATTTAATTTTTGATAAGTTGCGATACCAATCAAGTAAACATCGACCAGTAAATGTATGAGTTCAGTTTATTCTTAACCAAATTATTAAAGCATAAACAAATGTGTTTATAAGTATAGTGTTGGAGCATTTACAAAATATTTTCTGGTGGATGATTTTGATAAATGCTGACAATTACGTAATCTAAAATGACATTTTATAGACATTTTTTTATAACGTGTGTAACCGCCATGTGCCCGGATGGTAGCCTCAATATTTCTCTCCGTACTACCAGTAAGGCGTCTAATGCGAGTTTGAAGAAAATTTCGTGGTGCCGAACTTGTTCCAGCTGTTGCAGGTTGACTACAGGTGGTTTGTACCATTGCCCAAATTAAATCTAAAATTTCAGTTGTGGTCATTTCATGTTTGATTTTATAGTAACTGAACATTAACGAAATAATACCGCGATGAACAATCATTTTGTTGCTTAGCTACCCTTTTCTACTCTTTTTCTACTCAGTGTCCTCTATTTATGAAGAAAAACAATGATATCTTATTCGATTACTCGTTGTGTTGTAACCTTACTTATTAATAAAACGAATACTTTCAGTATGGAGGTATCGCATTAGAATGGTCATACTTTAAACATTAAGGAGAATGTTGATTTACATAAAATCTATAAAATTCTTATCAGTCATACTTTATAACATATATCTTACGAAATCACGCTATTTTAGATTTTGATTAAATTAGAATTATTAATGCCATAGTGATATACCGGTGCCTTATATTTCGGTGGTACTTAACTGTTCAACACAGATAACACAAGTTAGAAAAATAGAATTCGGGAGATTACGCTGAATATTGTAGCAAAGACATGTCAATTACATCGTAGTTTATTCAATTTAATGTTTATGTACACAACATGGGAATTAACACCTATCTGCTGCCAAGTGAATGAAGTTGTGTTCTAATATTTCCAAGGCAGTTACATTTTAACAGTTTCAAAAGCAAAAACAATAGTTATTTTTATTTTGTAGTATATCTATACCTAGCCCCGTCTGAAAGTGAAGATTCACCCTATGACATTTATCAAATATCTCAATGGTTGTTTAACAAAGACAATTGTCTACTAAAAGTAAAATGGGGAAATCATTTCCTTTGCTCTTAATTTGAATAAACTAAAAAGTTTTCTCTATCGTATATGTAGCATTTCGATAAAAATGCATAGTTAAAGTACTGGCAGGTGCATGAGGTCAAGGAGGCACTTGAAACTGTTTAATAATATGCATAATACCTGGGAATTATAGGGACCCCGAAAAAAATGAGGTAAAGTTTTACGGCAAATAGTTTAAATTTAAAAAGAAAAAAGAAAAAAAAAAATAGTAAAAACGTGAAGAATAAGTTTTATTTATTTTTTTAAATAAAAAAAGTAAAATGAACAGATAAAACAATATATCATATTATTTCCCCTCACTTTTTTCGTAATGTTAATTTCCCATAGGCGTCTGGGTGTTTATACAAGTGTACCACGTGACCAAGAAATTTATACTGTTACAGGGGTAACATTACTTTTTAACAGACTGAGTATAAAATCTGGTCACGTGGTCTATTTTCTGAATAAAAATGATTAAATGGCCGCCCTTTTTCTTCTCGGTTCATTGTTATTTTCGAAGTTTACCACAATAGCGCATCACTAGAGTTACTATGACCACCACGCCTCGGGTGTATTTTCCTCGGGATGATATTTTTACTGTTACCCACAATCCAGGTGTTATTTTTATACTGTGACTGCCATTTTCATATATTGTATGTAATCTTTAAAAACTCAGACAAGTTCATATAGTAAATCCTAAGAAATAAAAAAATAACGTATTTATTTACGAAATGAGAATTAGTCATAAACCAATAACAAGCTGGTTTATTTGATTTTCTTCTCTATAAAGAAAACCTTATACTATTAAATGTAAAGTTAGTATTGTTATCGTGATTAATAAACTGATTATGAATCTCACTTTTAATAACACAAGGGGAATACCCGTGTGTTCTTAATACATAGTTTACAATACGAGTTTTATCCCTTAGAGTGCATATTAAGTTCTGTCTTAAGTTATATTTTTAATGTTGAATTCGAAACCTTTCAGAAATCATAGACACTTCGCAACACGCAACAAGATATACAAGGAGACATGAAGGATTTTGTGAGATTAGCTATCTGGGACATACTTAATCCAACGAAGTCTGCAATTTTTGTACAATAGCGTTGTTTTTAGTGCGATCGAGGAATCGACTCTTACATATAGAATTTTATACCTCTTTGCAATTAGTTTACAGTAGCCCCAACCATCAAATAAAATAAGACGACACATCATGTTTTGAATATTAGGAAGGTATCAATAAAAAGTACAAGTTATTTAGTGAACATATTGATTTTCACTTAATTGTTGAAAATAATAATTAAGAAATAGAAATTAGAAAACAAAACTTTATTTCATTATATACAGGTATGTTGTCAATAAAATATCAGCATGCACGTCATACATACACATACGAGATTAAATTGTGATTTATGCATAAAAATGTAAAAGGTATTTAAATAAGATTGTGCTATCTGAAATAGATAGACAATTTGTTTTATTTCGAAACAAATCGTACACCAAAGAAGTTAGGATGATTGCACCTTTCAGAAAACGTGTTGTGTTTGCTGTAAATCATGATTTATTCTCCTAAAAAGGGGGCGTTTGGCTAATTTGTTATTTAAATGTTTCATTCTTTGTTCTTTCATTATACATATGCGTTAAATTAAAAAGACATCTCTGTTATTACAACTATCTCCTAATTTGACATTAATAGGAACACAACGGGATTGTACAGTTTTCAATACCAATAGTATATTGCGTCTTTTCTATGTTTACACTTCAAAAATAAATGTTATTTATTACATTGATATGAATTTAAGCCCCCTCAGTCTGCTATTATAATACGATTTGTTTGAAAAGGCTTGAGTAGTGCGTGTATTAAACTTAAACGTGTATCAAACTGACAAAGTGTAATTTAGTCATTTACGTAAATGAAATGCCATAGAACGTAACTTTACGTAAAGATATACCTTGAAATCAATGTCAATGAAATTACATTTGTGGGGGGGGGGGGGGGTGTAACATAAAATGCATTAATCCCTTTTTCAAATTAAAGGTTTATAAGTGAACCAGTACACCTGAAAATGTATTCCATGCAGCATCTGAGGTTAATAAATTTCCTGAACCACTAGAACATTTCATGTAAACTTTTGAATCTTTTTGGAGAACAGCAACAGTCTCTGCGGTGTAACTTTTCATGTATGCTTTATCAGCGAACAACCCTTTGTTGATCTCTACACTGTCCGCAATTATTGCATAGTACATATTATGCTCAGGGTGAACATATAACTGTACTGAAAACGTATATGTTCCCGCTACTGGTGCTGTAAATATCCCGCTCTTGTTATCATAACCGAGACCTTCGTTCAACGTCGTCGTCTTAAACACAAGTGTGTCCCCAGCACTTGGTGTTTTATCAACAAGGTCCTTACTTCTGAATGCGACTGTGGGTCCTGAAAAATATAATACTACGTGTGTGAACAATATGCGGAGAAAAATATAAGTAAATTGAAATATATGTCACAAATAGATTTTAAATTTTTGTCCATCTTTACTTTTCATTTATCATTATTTATTGATTCTCTAAAAGTTAATTCAGGATGAGATTAAACTTGGTAATTAGTATATTGACCATCGACGTATTAAATGTATTATAGACCTTTTTACCAAACGGGTTTTCAATAGAGATGCATGCCGCATTTCTCGCATGCTTATCTGCGTAGGGCGAAATCGCAATAACGATGACTACAATATATTATACTTTAATGCTTTAGTAGACTTAAACAGTAATTTTGGGAATACTTAAAGTGGTTATTACTCAAAACGTGAATTACTATTCATAACAGATATACGAAAATATGCGGGACTAATAATTCGTTGATAAAAAAACAGTATACAAAAGTTCTCTGTTTAAGGTATCATTTTACGACTTCTGTGTTAGTAATTTAAATTGAAACAGAAAGGTGTTAATGATAAAAATTAATTACCCATGTATTACATATTATAAAACACTTGGTATTGCATGTTCACTTGTAAGTGGATTGGCAAGACGGTTAGTGTCAAACAGAATGATACGTTGTCGATTGTTTATTTACAGCTAGTTTACAATATCATTCAACCAGGGCGTTTTAGAACAATGACATAAAAAATCACGTAAAATTATGAAAATCGTAATTTTACATTTACCAATCTAATTATTTTTTATTAAATTTGTAAAGTGACAAAAAGTCAAAAAGTTTGACTTGCATTTACGTGTGTTACGAGGAACCGTAAAATAAATGTGTTACTTTACTACCTATCTTAACTTCTTAAGATTTTGAAGAAAAAAAAATTAAATATTTTTATGTGCCTTAAATAAAAAGTGAATGTGTACCACAGGTTCCATCGATAGTTTCTGACAAGCACAAGTAAATATAGATGTAGTTTAAATATCTTTCTTTAAAACATTTTAAGCAATAAAGACTTGTTGTTGAATGCAATGCATGTCTATCTCTTTTATCTGAAGTTTGCAACTGAAGCAAATTGTAACTTTAAAAAGTTTTACCTTTAAGTTTTTCAATTTCTGCAGCAGAAAAGTTTCGAACACTTTTATTGGTTCCCTCCGCCGACACATTTGCAACATGCTCCAATTTTATCTTTTCTTCTCTAAGCTGCTTGGTTGTTTCTGTTAACTTTCCAAGGGCGTCAAGCACTTGCTGCTGAGTTGCCGCCATATCCGCCTGCAGTTTTTCCATGGCTATTTCCTGTCGAATCATTCTGTTTAAAGTTTGTTCCTCATAATGGAATCTAGAACATTCTGGTTCCGATAGCACTGCAGTAATAAATAGTAAAGCAACTAAACGTTGAAACATGTTTATATTTTGCCTTCCCTGTCGTCGATAAAGTGAGAAATTCAAATGCGGGAGTCTTTAATGAGATATTTGTAATGAAATAATTTGTAGAAGGGTTGTTTCTCAAGTTATTAAATCTATTTTAGATCGGTTCATTCATTCAGGACTTAAACTGTTCAATGTTTTTTATAATAAATGTTAGCCTAAAATAACATGTTCTGATTTTATCCCATTCTTTCCTATCAGTTATCACATAATGCTTGTAATTCATTTGTTCCTTTCATACATTTATTGATTACTGTTTCATAATATTAAGTTTGGCTATAATGACATTGTGTGTTGATAACATCATTGTAAACAATGAGAACAAAGATCAACAAGACAGGGCAACGTTCACCGACACATACTAGCCACGCAAATAATTGCACGACTTTCTCACATGGACTTACTTTTTGGCTGCATCCGCCATCTTGTTTGTTTGGGAAACGAACGGCGTGATTCTCCCCCGTGTTATTGTTTATAACAATTAATCATTATAATGACCCATTTTACCATTATATTGTATTTTTGTTACAATAGACATTCATATTCACGAAGTTTATCCTTTGCAAAAGCCGATTACAGCGTTCTTTTTATTTCTGGCATAAAATGTAAATGATTGATTTCATGCCGTGTGCAGGGCTTGTTAGTATTAAGTTATTTGCCATCTATTTTTTTTCTTTGGTACAAATACATGTAGACCTAAATATGGTGTTTCCCAGATAAAAATCCATTTGTGAATGAAAAGTTTCACGTAAGTAAACATATACTTTCCTTTTGTATATAGATATATTATTAACCACCCCCTGGTGGCTGCTTATTTGTTCTGTTTTCGTGCTACTTTTCTAAAACACATCAACGTTTATCTCATTAGATAGAACCTGTTCGTGTGTTACATATTATGTAATAGTTTTAATGTAATCATTTATTATTTTGAAATTGCACCAAAGGATGGCGAAAGGATAACTTTGACGTCAATTTTGCGTTAATCAACAACAGAAACTTTTAAAGAAACAGGTTTTAATCAGACAGTGCTGTTATTCGTTATCATGCTTTTGAAGGCTAACTTTTTCATCAATTTCACGTGGTTAAGAAAAAGCTTCATGACTACTGAATTATGTTTTTCTATCATGTTCAAAACTTTAAAGACGAACAATTTTATAAATTGTTATGACATTCTAAAACAGCAAAGTGAACGAAATAAACTTTGGCAGAGATAAATTGTTCTTTACTAATTTCCTTAGCTCATCAGTTGCTTATTTAAGAAACCTAAGAATTATTTATCATCCTGTAAATTTTTATACTTCGTTTAAGACCATGGTGTAAAATACCAACTTAAATCAGAAGACGTTTCATTTCCCAACTTTTATTATTTATATTCTTCGTCACTGAGTAAATCATGTGTACCACTATGCTACTATTACAAAAAGAATTACTTACATAATTATGACACCTGTTATCTGTTTGTAAAATGTAATCTAAAGCATTTTAACAATGTAATATATATTATAATTACCCATACGACAATGTTAAATGATATTATACTCGATGACAGGGACCTTCTGATACTTGATGTCACTTGTTGAGTGAAAAATAAACTGAAAGCATACAAGGAGGGGAAGTAACCGTGTCTCATTTATGCACATTTTAATGTATTGGCTACATCCCTTTACATACTTTATCCATCTCTAGGTGAAACCTATCTACTGTTTCATTCATTTCAAATTCATTTTATTTTCTCGGCGTTTTAAAAAATGTTTCGAGTGATAAAAATTTATTGCAAAAGTCTTCGAACCGCCTTCAAACTTGTCACAAATTCGATGGCGTATATGCTACAGTTACAAAATACACCGTACAATAGAATTTATCAACATTTTGCATGATTTAAAACATAATAACAGAAATATTTCAAGCGAAAACAGTTGTTGGTCACCAAGCTCGTTTTCGAGTTATCTGCTTTTGAGTTTGAAAATTTTACTTTTTTATTCGCAATTAATTCACAAGCAAGGCCTTACGCTTTTTTTATATAATAAATATTTTTGTCATTTGTCTTTGTCTCCCTACCCATCCATTTTAAACACGTGTTTGATAATTTTCCTAGTAACTGTGACTTATTGACAATACCACTAATATCTACTTAATCTAGATGTTTTTTTATAATTTTCCCCAAAGCAAAAGTATATTGATCTTGTCAAATTAAACATTTAATCTTTTTGTTTTTATCTATTATACTTAAAAATAAAGCAAAATAACTGCTACCAAGTTTGTAAAATGATATTATACCCCGAGACAGGGACCTTAAGATGCTTGATGTCACTTGTTGAGTGGAAAATAAACTGAAAGCATACAAGGAGGGGAAGTAACCGTGTCTCATTTATGCACAGTTTAATGTATTGGTTACATCCCTTTATATCCTTTCAGAAACCTGTCTACTGTTTCATTCATTTCAAATTCATTTTATTTTCTCGGCGTATTAAAAAATGTTTTGAGTGATTAAAATTTATTGCAAAAGTCTTCGAACCGCCTTCAAACTTGTCACAAATTCAATGGCGTATATGCTACAGTCACTTAGAAAAAATACACCGTACAATAAAATTTATCAACATTTTGCATGATTTAAAACATGATAACAGAATTATTTCAAGCGAAACCAGTTGTTGGTCACCAAGCTCGTTTTCGAGTTATCTGCTCTTGAGTTTGAAAATTTTACTTATTTCATTCGCAATTAATTCACAAGCAAAACCTTACGCTTTTTTCTTTATAATACATATCTTTGTCAATTGTCTTTGTCTCCCTACCCATCCATTTTAAACACGTGTTTGATGATTTCCCTAGTAAGTGTGACTTATTGACAATACCACTAATATCTACTTAATCTAGAGGCTTTTTTATAATTTTCCCCATTGATCTTGTCAAATTAAACATCTAATCTTTTTGTTTTTATCTATTATACTTTGAAAATGACTGCTACCAAGTGTGTTTGTTATTTTAGCATTATTTAACTATAGATACATTTAATAATTATATAATTAAAAAATTTAATCATTTTTTTTCTTTCTTAACAGGAATATAAGATATAAAAATGAAGAAAAAATGTCGCCCAGTAGGTGTTTGAACCCACGAGTCCCATTTCAATGAGTAATTTTAGAATATTTTATGACACATCATGTCTCAGAAATGCTTCATTTCTATTTAAAAAAAAACTTGTTACAAAAATATTCCCAAATGTCATTTAAACTATCTTTAGTTTTCTATTGCTCTGTTTGCAACTGGTATATTATAGTGAATAATGTTTTGTATGGAAGTCAAAATACTATTTTTCTTCCTTTTTGCTACCTTTACGCGACACATTGCTGTAGTTCAGCGCTCCTTTTCTCAATTGTTATCATCCCCAATACTCCAAGACATTATTCAATCATTATATAAAACATGTGTTCCATTTCTAAAGAATTAAAAATATTCGATTTCTAAGGCATAATGTGCCTTTAAATACTTTTTAAAGTAGAGCTAGGCCAAGCATTTGGAGTAATCAGCCTTAACATAACCCATAGTTTTAAGTAAAAATAAATGAGGGTTGTTCTAGATACATTTAATTAAAGGTATTTTGATTCAATTGACAGGATGAGGGTTAAGAAATCACACAAGACTAAATCATCTAATATTATGGCATCACGTTTGCTTTTAAAATAATTTATAGTAACTGAACAATTACGGGAAAATACCGCGATGAACAATCGTTCTGTTGTTAAGCTACTTTTTCTACTTTGTTTCACTTAAATGCAAGGACCATAAATATTTCTGAATAAAATACTGTTTGAAAATTCAATAATATAGACAAGAATAAAGAAATAAAATAAAGAGAATAAAAAAAAGTTAGACGCTCGTTGTATTCGATTCCTCTTCGTTGCATTTATGAGAATATTGTTCTAGTTAATGTCTTTAACATTTTGATATCTAACGAAACTGTTATTTAAAGCAATGTGATTAAAATAAATACATATTCTTGATCCAGTCATTAAATTTATAGATGATAAAAGGTGTAATTTGGTCAATGAAAAAAAGGATATTACCAACGTGCAGGAATACGATTTCCATTATCTACGCAAAACAACAACAACAACAATAACAAGTGTTTGTTTTGTTTGTTTGACTGGGTTTTACGTCACACCGACACAGTATAGGTCATGTGGCGACGTTCCAGCTTTACTGGTGGAGGAAGACCTCAGGTGCCCTTCCGTGCATTATTTCAGGCACGAACGGGCACCTGAGAAAAACCACCGACTTTCCTAAGTAGCTGGAATGCTTCCTCCCCACGAAAAAACCCAAAAGTCCCTGTCGGGTTCGAACCCAAAAGCGGTGGGGGGCAATTTGGTTTGAAGCCCAACCCGACCAACAACAAGTAAAAATGAACCGATAAATTTACAGTTTTTTTCCCAAAGTCTTTTTTATATTTTTAGTTTCAGCAGATTTGAATTTTTTCCCCCTAAAGGGCAAAATCCCAATTCGTTGAAAAGTTTGGGAAACTGATGTAATAAAAAAAAATTATAATTTTTAACTTCAAAATAATATAAGGGGAAAAACCCGTTTTTTATTATTACACTTTTTTCCCAAATATAGTTGACCCCTTAGAGGCTTTAAATTTTTTTCTTTTCTTTTTAAATTAAATTATAATTATTTTAAACCCACCTTTCCGTATATTTGGAAGAAAAGTTGGCAGCGGGGGCCTAGTTATGTCAAGATGACCTTTATTAACAAATTGGGCCAGTGTCTAGCTAACATTTAATTTATTTTCCTGATAAAAAAAAAAAAAAATTTTTTTTTTTAAAACCGGGTTGTTTTAAAAGGGGGAAAGCCGAATTTTTGCCGGGTTTTTGGGTTAAGTTGTTCCTTTGCTTCTCAACCCCCCAGGGTTGGGGTAGGTTCCCCCCCGGATAATTCCCCATGTGATATCTCGTCACGTAATTTTATACTTTCATTTCCGTTGACATCATTTTTCCCATAAAAAAAAAACAACAAAAGCAAAACAAACAACAAACAGAAAACATGAAGACTGCAAAATATGTAAACGGGGAAATTACAGTCAATCCTC